CTTTATATATATATATATATGTATTCAACATCGAAAGAGAATTAAACTTCAATCTACATTTTCTTTCATCAAAAAAAGGGAAAAAGAAGAAATCCCAGTAAACTGAAAGGAAGTGAAGAAAATCAGTTAGGATAAAAGAAGAAAAATCAGAAGACAAAAAAAGGTGAAGAAAAAGAAAGAAAACTTGAAAAAGTAAAAAGATAAAATATAAAAAAAGAAAATTTAAAAAAGAAACAATTTTCATACAGACTCTTCAAACTTATAATATATCTTATATAATCAAGTAGAAATATACATATATATAAAAAATGAAGATATGTTTCCAAGTAACAACTTACCCTGCTGAAGAGGGCTGGAGGTGCAGCAGTGGCCTGAGTTTTCTTGAGGTAAGCATACCACAAGAACTGCCCCTCGTACCCTCTCGGGGGCGTTAGGGTAATGTTGTTCATCTCGCAAAACCCAGCAGGGAAAATACAGGGGGAAGTGGCGTGGTAACAGAACCAGTCAGAGCAGGTGTTGTCTGACTCATAGCTGTCTATCCGGATCATGAGGTAGTTGTTGTGCAAGACCTGAGGCATGAGGGAAAAAAAGAAGTTAGTTTAAGCTGAAAGTAAGAAGTAAAATAAATGTGCTAGACATCAAAGGTCATATAGCACTATGGTAAAGTATTGTGGCAAAAAGATAAAGAGGAGTTACGCATTAGAATAAAATGTGCTAACCGTCAAAGATTAGAGAGTGTTCTAGGTAGTATGGCAGTGAAAAGGGAAAGAAAAGAGGGGAGTAAATGTAGTAGAGCAGATATTTGTAAAAGAGGAAGGGTTAAGGAGGCAGGGCAATTGAGTGAACTGTAGAGTATCTGTGACTGGAGAAGGAACAGGGACATAGCTTAAGGAAAACAGAGGTAGCTGTTTGAGGAGGCAGAGAAGAATCTGGGGGATGAGAAAAGGGGACTGAGGAAGGTGGTGACATATCAGGAAGAGTGTCAAGAGGGGAGGGGGTCTAGAAAAGGACATTGTTATCACAGAAGGAACTGACATGAGCATTCAGATGGAAGTGGTAGAGAGGGTGGAATATGTTGGGAAAGCGTAGGAGGAAAGAGGGTAGGGGAACTTGAGGAGGATGGATATCAGCAAATACTTTAATAGTGGGAGTAAGAAAAAAGGGATTGGAGGGTTGATGAGGGAGCAGAGTGTTCCCTTAGGTCATCTTTAGGAAGTTTTAGATGTCTTAACCCACTCACGAGGGGTACATTTTGTAGCCAAATTAAAAAAAATTCCGGGCAGCTACAAAATCAGCAGGCAGAGCTTCCCCGGAGTCTGTCCGCCCGCCCGGCCACGCGCCACTGCTGCGTCGGAGCACAGCCCCGATACAGCATCACACTGGCGGGACGCCCGGCAATGTTTATTTTTTCCAGTGTCTCATATATGTGACACCCGGCACGATTGGGTTAAAGAGTTTCTGGAGGGGGGTTAGGTGTAGAGGACTGATAAACAAAGGCTCTCTTGTGAGGAGGAGAAGAGTGGATAGATATCTGAGGAGTAGAGGAAGAGGAAAGTGTAGGAGAGAAGTGTTGGTGTTGGTGAGAAGGTGGAGGGGAACGTTTAGGTTGCTTGGCACGAAAAGTAAAGTGAGGAGGCGGGGTAGCTTTGGGGAAGTGGTAGGGATTGGAGTATCTAGATTTACACTTGAATAGGAATTTGACTGCAGGAGAGGGGGAGTAGACATAGTGAAGTGAAGGACAGTTTTGGAATAAGTAGAATGAGGAGAATTTGTTGCTGTGCAAGAAGGACCCACAATAAAGAACAATTCATAAATCAAAGAGAAAAGACCACTGCAAATTATCCTCTACAGCTAACCTTCATGACTGTTGCAACACAAATGGCTGACAGGTTCAGAGGGTCAATTGCCTCCAGCTTCATCCCCTCAGCAAAACCCATTTTGGAGTTGCGAAGAAAAGCCGGCACAGGGGTGGCCACAAAGAGTTCTGGAGGTGCATCATTAGGATCATATGTACCGCGTATGCACTTCTCATGATATGACTGACTGGCAACTATTTCATGCCCTACTTCTCTCGACCAGCCCACAGGATGGATTATTGGAGCATCCTCATGGCACCAAAATCCTGAGAAGAAAAAAGTATTTACATCAGAACTGCTGTAAGCAATAGGAACTTATAAAAGGCAATGAAAGAAAGATAAAAAAATTGGATAGTTTAAATACTGAGACTATCCAGTTCTGCCAGCAAAATTATCTAATATACAAAGTGACATGCTAGATATTTCCCAAATAAACCATAACCATTTAGTAAGTAAAATAAAATCCTCTTAGAAAACATTTGGATTATCATTTCTTCAAAGCTTACCATTGTCATCTGGTGGTGCCCCATGGTATTTCAGGTGGAGTCTCTTTCCGACGACCTCTGTTACTGTTGCTACTCTCATCTGTGCTATTCTGTTCTTGTCTACAACCTCCACATTAAGTCCAGGCCTACGAAAATATAGTCATTGCATATTAACGAGGTATAAATAAAAAACACATAAAAGAAAGTGGGATGAGAAAATGAACACTAAATTCCATAAACTCATAAGAATCTGGAGGGAGTCTACTATTGACATCAATCTACAACAGAAGTGTCTTTTCTCTAGGCTATTTTTTCAGTACATTTAATTTATACATATTTTTTAGTAAAGTTTAGCATCCTTCCTTATTTCTACTATTCACAAATTCAGCTCACCTGAATCTTGACTTCTGGCTCTCAACAACTCTAGAGATGAAGTTTGTTGGAAGAGTTCGTGCCCCAGTTAATCGTCTCATTAGAAATTCTTTCCAGTCACGGTACTTGTGTTGGATGGAGCGTGGAGGTATTAGTGGGCGACCTTGGGTGGCACACCAACCCACAGGATGTACCTCTTCTGAACAAAGGTCCACCCAGAAGTCCTTTGAGCTGTCATCCACAAAGCCCTCAAACCGAAGTTTTGCTTTGTAGCCTAAAAATAACAGATAAGATTTGGATCATTCTGATTATTTTGGCCTCATCAAACATTTCATATTATGCTTTGAAAAATATGTTATCTGTTATTCATGAAATAAAATAAAGCAGTGTTATATTCTCAAAGCAAGAAATAGTATCAGCAAGAGTTAGTAATAAAGAGCTTACAAAATACATATCAGCCCAAAAAAATTGAGTTTTTTTTAGTCTTTTGACCCCAGGGGTGCATGGACAAATAAACTATCCACTGCAATATTTACACATAGCTGGCTCTGCAAGCACTTGGTCAAAAACAAGTCTAATTCATAGGCCTACCTGACCTCACCTCTTTACCCTTATCCTTGAGTTTTCTTATCATTTTCCTTATCATCATTATAATTAACATCATTATTGTTCTTATCTTTCTTAATATTATTATCATTATCATTCTTACTATTACTATCATTCTTATTATCATCATCATTAACATTATAATCATTCTTGTTACTACTATCATCATTACTATCTTTATTGCTCTGACCATCATGATTATTATCAAAGCTATTCTTAATCATGATCATCATCATTATAATCATATTCATCATCTTTGTAAATATCATTATTATTGTAATTAACATTATATTCCTTATTTTTATCCTCACTATCATTATCATTATCATCACTATCATCATTATCATTATTCTTATAATCAACATTATCATTATCATTATCATCACTATCAATATCGTTATTATCACTATCATCATTCTTGTTAACCTGTTAAGCATCACCCTCTGCAACCGTTGGCGTTTTGGGAGCGTAACCCATTCGTCCGGGTGTCACATATATGAGACACAGGGAAAAATAAACAATGTCGGGCTGCCCGCCAGTGCGATGCTGTCTCGGAGCTGCGCTCCGCGGCAGAAGCGGCGCGCGGCCAGGCGGGCGGACAGACTCCGGGGAAGCTCCGCCCGCCGATTTTGTAGCCGCCCGGATTTTTTAAATTTTGGCTACAAAATGTACCCGGCGTGAGTGGGTTAAGCATCATTATCATTATCATTATCATCACTATCAATATCGTTATTATCACTATCATCATTCTTGTTAACCTGTTAAGCATCACCCTCTGCAACCGTTGGCGTTTTGGGAGCGTCACCTTCCTCGTCCGCCTTCCTGCTACCCTGCCCAAGCCCCTCCTCCATCTCCCTCCTCCCCCAACTTCCTCTTCTCATTTCTCCCCCATTTCCCTCTTCTCCCATATCCCACCTCTCCTATGTGAACAGAAAACTTCATGTGGCATAGGAGGCGCTTAACAGGTTAACATCATTATTGTTATTGTTATCTTTATCACTGTTTAGCCTATTCCTAGTGTTATTATCAGTATTATTGTTATTATTATTGATATTATTATCATATTTCTCATTTTCATCATTATTCTTATTATCAGAATAATCATTACTATTATAATACTTATTACAAAAATCATTCTCATCACTAAAATTATTATCAAGCTTATTATCATCATAGAATTAACCCTTTTCTTTCTGAAAACTTAAGGAACAGAGTAAGCAAGTGAGGTAAATGCTTTTGAAGCCACTTGTTTTTAAATACTCCTATTCATAATATTCTTAAAATGTAACAGATAATATGAAACAAAATTAAGTACGGCCAATGAATGACAGAAAAATCCAGCACAATGTAAAGGCCCTATCACACTAGAACTTTTTCCATCAATTTTTGTGTTTCCGAATGAACTTCTCGTATGTAAATGGACTGACCCTATCACATTATCAATGCAAACAAACAGAGTCCCGGGAATCAAGCAAAAGTTCTCATACATATCACGGTATTTTAAAGAAATATGAATATGTAAATTGTATATATAAATGTCTTAATATATTACATTATGTTTACATTCACTCATTCTATCCAATTTATCAATAAATAAATAAAAAATAAAAAAAACATTCTAGCTGTGTAGATCCTTCATAGCACAAGATCAAGACAGAAATTAGTCAGACAGAAACAGTCG